GCTGTGTTCATCCAGCTCTACACCGTGTTATCTCTAGTTAGGTACTGTTCTGTCAAACTACAGTTCTTTTTATAGCAATCAGTTTTAGAGAGAATTGCTCACTGACAGAGTGCATATTACGCCAAGAGGTTTCATTTTAAGACATCCTTGAGAAACACTTGCTTGTTTTGTAATTGGGCTTAATGCCACAACTATTCCTCTCGTCAAAATAAGAAGTGTGGGCTGTCTGGTGAAGCATTTGGAGCTTGTCATTGACCCAGATCCTATGGTGTCCAGATGGTCAAAGGCTGTAAGTTCCTCGGAAAATGGTCGGCAGGAGACAAAACGTCTCTGTGAGATTCACCTGGGAAGTCTGAATGCCCAGTGGATGACTTCCTGCTCCTCTGGATCCTCTAGAAAAAAATCTCCAAATCTGAGTCAGGTCCGAGACTTCGGACAGTTCTGACCTATGTAGGAAATGGTTGACAGGAGAGAAAACTAAGCCTGACAACAGGGTAACTACATCATGAGCCCTTATTGCTAATTCCATCCCGATCCTGACTTGACTAGCTCACAACCTGATCCCACCACCTAACTCGCCAACTGACCTCTCACTTGACTGAACTCCCCCACCAATTGGGTACCAACCTCACCACTCTACTTATGCCACTATCCTAAATCGCTTCAAGGCAAAAAAAGTTTTTAGTATAGAAATGCATTGTGTGTCAACACAGTCTTGGTGGGCCGAAGGGCCTGTTCCTTTGCTGTACTGTACGCCATTTCTCCCCACAACTGCTACCCTAGTCACTGGCCACTCTATACTCTTACCTCACACACATAAACATCATTTACATTTACCTTCTTTCTGGAGCTTCACAAGAAGCACTGGCACATTTAAACTTTTTCACTGACTAGAATTTGGCAGACAGTTCCATAAAAGGGGGGTCTGGCTTCTGCATGAATTTTCACATTGCTCTTTCTGAAAATTCCTGAGCAGTCAGTTCTGAAGGGTTCACCATAGGGGTTTGCACAGTAACAAAGCATTAAATGTCTGACAACTTGTGTTTTGAGTGTAAAACATACCTATTAAAGCAATTTCCCGTGAAAGCATTCAACTGCTTTTATAAACAAGATGTATCTATTTTAAATTGAAATGTCTTTCGAAAAGCAATGAAATTATGTCTCCAGTCTCCATGATAAGTGGGTGGCAAACTGTTGACTTATGTTCATTCTTTTAATTCATCCAGCAAGTAAAATTGAAGTTAACAGTGTTTGTTTGCCTACACGATGTGCATTAAACTGCTCAAGGGGACAAGTGTGGGGAGGATCATATCACAGAGAGTGTGATCCGAGCTGTGTTTGTAGCTACAGTCCACATAGTCCAGTTGTGGTGCAGTGAAAGTTGGAGAACAAGCTTATCTTCATCAAAACGTGGCAAAATCAGCAGATGGTATCCTCCCAGCCACTGAATGACGTGTACATGAAGTAGATGGCAGGAAATCAGTAGTGAGAAGCATCCCGATGACAAGAGCAAAAAGTTCCATTTTCCATGACAGGATTCTCACTAGTGAGCAGTGAGAAGCTTATTTACATACATTAGTATACATTAAAATCCTCACTATTGTGTCACCTCGCCTCATGGATATGTACTCTCCCACCTGCTGCATGGAAACTAAACGATGATGAATCCCAACATGAAAGTCGATGCAGTAACCAGGCAACTCCAGCTTGTCGCTTGGTCTTCCAGTACTGCATCAGTCACCAATATCTCGGGGCACATTCCACTGGCAGCAACCAGACACATCCCCATCCACCAAGACCTCCAGGTGACTATCAACAAAGCAAGGCGCCAATTTCCTTCCGTCCAACATGTCTGGAGCAACTGACAAGACCTTGTAGGGCAGATGCAGACTGCCAGAGATTGACTAGGTGCATGGTTGGACATAAAAGATGGCACCAGTGCCAGGAATCCCAGGAGGTTCTGACAATGACAACTGCTTGCGTCTATGGTGAGCAAAAGAATACAATCAGGAAGGCACCATAGGGGCATGGTGCACAGGTAATGAGGCAAGCTTGGGAAGATACTTAGAAAACTCATTAGGCCTTGCAGAGAGAAAACCTCCTTGAAATCCACCAAAAAAATAACATTCAGCTGATTTCTGGTAAAATGCAGCCTTGCACGTTTAACTATGTTTGATTACTTCTAGAAACTGACCTAAACTCTCAGAAGAAATGTTCTCTAACTCTGAGGTTAAAACCCGCCTCCTGCAAACTTGCTCAGAGATAGCAGGAACTGCCGATGCTGGAGAATCTGAGATAACAAGTTATAGAGCTGGATGAGCACACCAGGCCAAGCAGCATCAGAGGAGCAGGAAAGCTGACGTTTCGGGTCTGGACCCTTCTTCAGAAATGGCTGAATGGTTCATCCAGCTCTACACCTTGTTATCTCCTGCAAACTGGGATTTGGATAGCTAGAAATGTTAATGTTGCATCAGCACTTTGTTCCATACTGAAAATCAGAATGATTTGCTAAATTACCGCATGAGATACAAAGTGCATCTTCTGTGCTTGTACATCGGTATTCTCTAAAATATATAGGTTAAATTCTAGTACAATAGATATTCAGGGTAGATGCTTCTGTCGCTAGACCTGCAATTGCAGAATGTATCCTATTAAGGTCCTAACTGAGTAAAATCATGTTTAGAGAAATAATACAGGATGAAGTAAACATGCACTTAGAGAAAGATAAATTAATACGAGACAGTCAACATGACTTGGTCAAGGGCAAGGTCGTGGCTGTCAAATTTATTTGAATTCTTTGACAAGGTGACACAGGCAATAGATGATGATAGTGCTGTGGATGTCATATATTTGTACTTTCAGAAAGCATTTGATATGGTGCTACATGACAGGTTGGTTAGTAAATCAGAAATGTTTGGGATTGATGGGTCCTTGGCAGTATGGATTAGAAGTAAGCTAAAAGATAGGAAACAAAGGATAGGTATAGATAGGCACTTCTCACAGTGGAGATGAGTTTGAAAGTGGTGTTCCCCAGTCTTGGGACCCTTGCTTTTTCTGGCTTATACAAACAATTTGGCAAAGTCTCTAAATATGCAGATGATACTAAGCTAGGCAGGATAGTGAATTATGAGGATGATGCTGAGTGACTTCAGAGGGACATTGACAAAATGGCCAAATGGGCAGATATCTGGCAGTAACCAGGCAACTCTGGCTTGCCACTGAATCCTGCAGTACTGCAACAGTCACCAATATCTCAGGGCATGTTCCACGGGCAGCAATGGCCACATACCCATCCATCAAGGCCTCCAGCTGCAGAGAAATGTGAGGTAAGGCATTTTGGCAGAAGAAACACGGAGAGACAACGCAAGGTCAATAGTACAACTTTGAGGGGAATACAGGAGCAGACAGACCTCGGGGTTCACATGCATGATTCTCTGAAGCTGGCCAGGCAAGTTGAAACACTTGTTAAGAAGGTTAATAGGATCCTTGGGTTTATAAATAGAGGCATAGAGTTTAAAAGGAAGGAAGTGATGCTACACCCTGCAAATCATTGGTCAGACCACATTTGGAATGTTGTGTTCAGTTCTGGGCACCTTATTTAAGGAAGGATGTAAAAGCCCTGGAGCAAGCGCAAAGGTGATTTACTAGAATTATACCAGGAATTATGGATTTTGGATTCAAAGAAAGATCAGAGAAATTGGGCTTATTCTCCTTGGAGCAAAGAAAATCAAGAAGTGACTTTATCAAGGTGTTCAAAATTATAAACAATTTTGACAGGATAGCTCTTTCGGGAGCCAGTACAGACACAATGGGGCAAATGGTCTCCTTCTGTACAGTAAAATTCCATGAATAATATAAGGTGGGGCCCATAAGCAATAAAACCCAAGGTGCTGGCACCCATCACTCACCACAAAGCAGGTACAAGTGGTACAGCAATACCATGCAGGGGCACATTAACAGTCCAAGACAATCTGGAATTTGTTACGTGAGATGTACCATTTCTCGATAAAGTGCACAAAGTAGCAATATCCATCTCATCCTCATGCAAATTTATCAGATAGTGTGATGTTCCTCTACAAATGAGATACAGATTAAACACACCACGGAGAGTTAAGCCAAGTTGTTCAGTCTAACTGCCCTTTTAACTGTGTGACAAATCTCAACTCCTATTGAACAGCATCTCTGGCAGTGAAGTGAATTTAACAACCATGGAGTAACTGACTTGTAGATTGTGATGATGATTAGTGTTTTTTTTCAAAACAGATTTTAAAATAAAAACATGTGTTATTACTTTATCTTTCTATTTCATTTAGTTCCCTCTCCATCTAATCTTTCTTTCTATATTTTTATGTTATTTTCTGTACCTATTCTGACAGTGAAGTAAATATTTTACTTGACACTTCCTGGTTCTGAAACTGGATGATTGAATCATCTGATTGGATAATCTGATACACTATGCTTT